CCACCTGGGGAGGGTGTGGAGGGGGAACGTGGCAGGCCCGGCTGGCGAGAAAAAGGTTGCTTCTCCCACGTTGCGGCTCTGCCGCCTCGCTGTTGGGATGCTCGGAGAGGTTCTGGGGCCGGGACTGGTCGGTGCTGCTGCTGCTTCTGGGCTGAAGGGGGGGGTAGGGGGAGAAGTGGTAAAAGTCAAGGGGAGCAGATGAAATCAAGGTAAATCAAAAGTAACGGCTGGTGTGTCATGGCTTAGGAGGCAGAGGGTGTGATACCGCCCAGAAAAACCTGAATGATTTCAGTCCTGAGTGGGACGATGCTCAGTACATCAAAGAGAAGATAAAGTCAGTGCTTGTGTTGGCGACAGGTGTTGATACTGGGCAGTTAATGAAGTCAGGAAAATTATTTTAAAAAAATAAATACTGAAGCAAAGTTTCACAATAAATTATTTTTCTGTATCTATTAGATCTTTGGGAGCCAAATAAACTGCTCAGCTCAGCTTTCAGGTTGCTCTCTGAGAACAAAACCTAAGGAGGACCTTTGATGTGAATAATAACATTTCCCTAAGTGTAATGAGACCTCTTGTCATGGTCGTTCTTAAAATCGAGTCTTCATCCTTCCCTGCTAAGAAGTGTGTCTAAAAGATAGTGAGAAAGTAAGCAGCTACTTAAAGAGGGAGAAGGGCATGAAATGCCTGTTGAGACTTTATCAAGTACAATTAGTGGCACCCTGTATAAAATACTTTTTTAAGGTGATTTTCTTTGGTGTTTGCTTGTGGTTTGTTTGTTTGTTTTTGTTAGTCTTCAACTTATGACTCTAAACTATAATTTCCTTTAGAAGAGTATGTTTGGATAATTTTAAATCTTGAGTAGCCATTAATGTAAAGAATTAAAGCACAAAATATACACACTCAAATATATGTGTCTCACAGGTTTGGGGAGGGAAAGAAGGGGGAGATAATTGCTATGGGCTCCAAAAGGAGTGATCTTTAGCTAGAAGATGCCTAGATATCTACCTAGATAAGCGCTTTAGAGTATCCCTGTTGCTTTCATTAAGACTTGAGTCAGATTCAGTTAATGATTTGCATCGTTAGTAACAAGGATCAATGCAATATTAATCCCCCTCACCCTCCCAAAAGCTCAAATGTGTTACTGTGCAAAGGAAAAGTGTCAGATTTGATGAGAGCTGAGTTACTGATGCAGAACAAAATGAAGGGGCAGCTGTTGGAGGAGAGGAGTTGTTTTTGCATTACCATTTTCTCTTGTTGTCCTTCACCAAAATGGTTCCTATGTTAATGCAGACCTGTTTTCAGTCCATTTTTTAGTTGAAAGCAAAAGATTAATGATGGTTTAGGGTTAAAGATGTAAGTGGTGTGTGCTTGGCAACACAGGCATCTAACTTCAACTTCTGAAGAGGTAATTTGTATAACTTAATGTAAGAACACACTGCATTTTGTTGTATTGTCTTAAACATATTACTTTGTAAATATTGTCACCCGATCCTACACACAGTGAGTTGAACTAGCAAAATATGAACGTTGGTCTTCAATGCATGTAGCTTTTCCTAGCTGTGCACCTTGTAATATTGCATGCAACTGTGCCAGTTCTCATAAGCTGATCTTGCTGTAAGTCAGTGAACCTGAATATGGAATCAAGCCAACACGCTGCATATGACCCATATATATAAAAGAGCCCAGCAGTGTTTGCCTTGAAAGACTGACATCTAACTCTATTTGTAATTGAGACCTTTGCATCCAGCTTTTTCTGCAGCAGTGCCATTGAGTGTGATTTGGCTCACACAAATGGTGATCTCTGCACTTGACAAAACAACCAATAACTTATATGTAATTGTGGAGTTATTAGCTTTTTCTTCTCTGCTTGGAGTATGCTTGCTCAATTCCTGCTTCTGGATCTTGTGATCCTGGTCTGAAGAGAGCTGTGAAACCTGCTCAGGAGAATTGGATCCTGTCACGCACTTTCAGCAGAGAATTTTGTGTCTGTACTCAAATTGATGGAGATCAGTGGCTTTGCTGGATCAGAAATGGTGTTATGGACTGACACTGTTGTTCAGGCTCATCATACAGTGAGAACTTGTTAGTGGTGGTGGGGACTCAGTCAGAAATCAGAGGGCCTGGGGCAAGACCTCTTCCATGGGATACCACCTCTGTACTGCAAAGAGCTTACAGCTAGTAACCTGCTTCAAACGTCTCTTAGAGCAGCATCAAATATCTGTCTTGTTGTAAACCAATGAATTAAAAATGAAATTAATTTCACTATTTTATTAAGCAGATTACCTTCTTAATCTGAAAGGTGAGTGGGAACATTTTGGTAAAAGATAGGCAAGATCTAGTGTGGGTTGTTTTGTTGGGTTTTTTTTTGGTTAACAGTTGGACTTGATGATCTTAAAAGTCTTTTCCAAAAACACAATCTTGTGATTCTATTTTTAAACTTAGCTGTTATAGATAGAAATATGCAGTTGTCCAGCCATTTTAAAGAAGTTAAAGTTGGAGAGACTGTGAAAGGGAATCAATGGAACTGCTGCATGTTGACTGCATTCTTAGTTTTGCTCTTTCCGTTCCTGTAAGTGTCACTGGATAGTAATATCTTTAAAAGTTGCATATAATAAGAATATAATTCCAAATGGCAATATTGTGCCTTCGTTGTGGCTTTCCTCTTTCTTGCTGACTCCTTCAGAGACCTCACTTTTTGTTTCTTTTTGCAATGTTTGAAGACATACAAGGAACAGTCTTGGCTTTGATACCTTGTACTTTTTCTTTACTTTGCATTTTCCACATTCATCATTTTTTCTATGTTATCTCTGTTTATGGCCTGGCTACATGTAGCTAAGAATGTGGTCTATGACAGATATCCACTGATTTCAACATAGTCAGGAGTGTGATCTCTAGTAATGTACAAAACCACATGGTCTTACAGTGTTGGATGACTGAAAATTTTTAGCATGTGATTTGGGTGATTCTGATAAGGGTTTGGCACGTGAATTAGGAGACCTGACAGACAGAATAGCTTGGTTGTGGTTGATCAGAGTGCAGCTGTCTCTATAGTCGACAGATTCTGATCAGCACAATTTTTAAACTGTAGGTTTTGTTGTCTTTCTCTGCAAAGGCAGGGCTTTACTGTTATGTAGCAAAAGAGAGGCAGTGATTTTTCAGTTCTGATCTACTAAATCCTGATCCATTTTTTCCTACTTATATCCAATGTGTCAAAGCACAATATTACCCCAAGGCAAATGGAAATGTAAGACTTTACACTTTTTTCACTGCCAGCCATTAAAAAAACACACTTTCTTTTCCTTTGCATGTAGTTAAATAAGTCAAATTACATGATGATTGAAGATAATAAAGAGAATGAAGACCATGCATCTGAAAGAGGAAGAACAGCCATAATTTTTTCCTTGAAGAATGAAGTTGGAGGACTTGTAAAAGCATTAAAACTCTTTCAGGTATGTAATAATCGTGTTGATACAGCAGCTCTGTATTTTTAAATTGTAAGGGTAGTTTTGGAATGCACTAGAATTCATTACATCAATTTCTTAAGGATTTTATTCCTAACCTGGCTCCCACTTTGCACCCAAAATTAGCCAAAAAAAGGCAAATTTAAGTCTCAGAAATTAGATACTGGCTGGCCAAAAATCTTCACAAAACCTGTCATCTGTACTGACTAAAGACAGATAGTTTTGTCTTTTTTCCTCAAGAAAAGAGAATTGGCTGTCTTCACCCTAGTGACCAGCAATAGGACAAGAGGAAATGGGGTCAGGTTGTGCCAGGAGAGGTTCAGACTGGATATTAGGAAAAATTTCTTTGCTGAAAGAATGGTGAGGCATTGGAACAGGCTGCCCAGGGAGGTGGTGGAGGCATCATCTCTGGAGGTGTTAAAAAAATGGATAGGTGTGGTGTTTTGGGAGATGGTTTAGTGCTTATGAGGTGTAGGGCTGATGGTTGGACTTGATGATCTTGAAGGTCTTCTCCAACCTTAGTGGTTCTGTGATTCCAAGAGGTGAGTCTGAAGCTCCTGTTGATGGCAGGCAGACACTAGAGGTGCTGACTTACACTGGAGTGAGCCCACTGCACCTGTCACCCTGCTTAGCCAGACTGGGGAAATGCCATTGCAGAACCACACTCCTTTGATTCCTGGGCAGGTACTTTGCAAGGAGAATGTGCAGTGCTACTGCGCTCTGTCATCTGGCCCTGCATGTCTTTGCCTGGGGTTTTCTCTGTGGTCCTGATATAAGACATATGATTAAATAATTTTTTCAAATAAAAGTTAATTATATGCTCTGAAAACTACTGTTTTAAAATCCCTTGCTTGCTTGTGAGGTAATTATGGGGTGGCTTGAGTGGCATTTTGGTAAATTTCCACAGACTCAGTTGCTAATCAGCTTCCTATGGAAGGGATGAAAGAAAAAGGTTTATGCATTTAAACCTTCTGACTGTGTCTTTCCCTGCTTCCTGAATGTAAATGAAATTGAAAGAATGCAGGTTCTGTTTCATTTTTCTTCTGAATGGGAGGCTTTTAAAAATCAAACCATTTCCCCCCTCGCCCTCCAATAAGAAATTGCTATCAAGAGGTCCAATTAACTAATATAGCTTCCCAAAGGTGGTGAATATTCCATGGCAGTAGGAAATATTTTAATTTATAGTCAATGTGTTTGAAAATGTATTACTTCTTGCAAAACAGGAGAAGCATGTAAATCTGGTACACATTGAGTCACGGAAGTCCAAGAGACGAAATTCTGAGTTTGAGGTCTTTGTGGACTGTGACAGTAACAGGGAACAGCTGAATGAGATTTTCCAGCTCCTGAACTCCCATGTCAACATTGTCTCTATGAACCCAACAGAGCATTTCAATGGCCAGGATGATGGTAAGTACAAAAGGCAGTTCTGATCAAAACGCACTTCTAAATGTGTTGACTTGATATCTTATTGCGGTGTCCACATCTGCACTTGTGTGGTGTTTTCAGTCGGTAGGTACCAGGTTTATGATTCTGTGTTGTGAAAGCGTATTTTGGTTAATATGAGCAGGGCTGTATTGGCTGTTGTCACCTGGGAATACAGGCTGTTTGAGGCTGATGCAAATTGCATGTCTGTTATCTGTGCTCCTGTCCCTTCTCTGCACAGCACAACTGCCGTCAGTGGGAGTCCCTGCACCCACGCAGCCCGGCACGTAGGCAAAGTCTCCATGCAGGATCTGGCACACAAGGGTGACAGAGGTGTAATACTGACAGTTCAGTTCAGACATTGGTGAGAGTGAGAGATGGATTCTGCAGTTTCCTTAGAATCACAGAAAGGTTTGGTTTGGCAGGGCACTTAAAGATCATCTAGTCTCACCCCCCTATGCCATTGACAGTGGCAAGAGAAGATTTTTTATTTTTTTCTAATTCAAGTGGAATCAGATATGTTTGTCTGCTGGGGAAGACTTTTTCCTGTGTGGGTAGTGGAAATGGCAGTTCTAAAAGTCTTTGTGGACTTGTATAGCGAGGTGGATCTCTAGTGGCAGTCATGTTAACAAACTTGGCCAAAAGGAACTTCTTGTGCTACTTGGTTGGTTTTGGGGGATCTTAAAATTTGGTGTGGGTTTGTTTTGGGTGCTTTTCAGGATTTAATGAGTGAGATGAAGGTAATGAAATCCAGGTTTCAGTGGCTGTGCAATGGAAATCTGCTTGTGTAGGTGTGGACAGTTCCTGCACGTGGAGTGGGTGTGGTGGTGGTATCTCATCACAGAACTCAATAAGCTGCAGCATCCACACCTCACCCAGCCAACTGAGCCTTTAGCTAAGCTTGAGTGACGCAAGAGAATCCAAAAGGTTCAACAACATAGATAGGGCTGCCAAAACCAGTTAAAAATTGGGCTGTAATAGTATGGTTAAGGACAGTGTGGTGCTGGAACAACTCCTGGGGAGATCCTGCCAACTTCACAATGGGAAGTTTATACAGCTCTTGATTTAAATTTTTTTTCTCTACCACATTTCATCAAACCCAGTTACTTATATCAGTGTGAAGGGGATGCCTTTTAACTTTTGTAGGCTTCATGTTCTGTTTACCTTTGCTTCCAGTTAAAGATGGCTGAAGTTCAGGGCAGCAGGAAGTCTGTTCTGTGTATTTCTCAGCCACTGTGCTTGGCACAAGCTGGGAGGTAGGG